TGCTTGTCAAGGGGCATGGGTTACAAAACCCAGTGAATTGAGAGAGGCTGGGGGCAGGTATTGGTACCTGGTGGTGTGGGGCCCCTGCGTGAGCCTGAAACACCAATTGCACCTTCTCCTCTCTCCACTATTGAATGTCAGAGCTAACTTTGATTCCCTTAGGAGTCTAGTTACAGGCTGCTGAGCTGAGTTCACTTTGGGCCACTAGTGCACCAGCACTGGGGCTCCCCTACTATGAGCTGAAATCACAAAAGAGCTGAAATCACAAAAGAGCTAAAGTTACTAAGAGCTGAGATCACTGAGGCTGTGTTAACTAGTGGGGGAGCCTGAATTGCTAAGCGGCTGGCGGAGCAGTTTGCGGGGACGGCTGGAGGAGCAGCTAGCCGAGTGGAGCCTCGCGGGGACGGTTGGAGCAGAGCAGAGCGGAGCTGAGCGGCTCACAGGTCGGTGAGCGGAGCAGAGCAGCTGGAGGAGCAGCTGGCAGAGCGGAGCCTTGCGGGGACGGTTGGAGCGGAGTGGAGCCAGGCGGCTCACAGGTCGGTGAGCGGAGCAGAGCAGAGCAGTTCGTGGGACGGCAGGAGCGGCTCACGGGACAGCAGGTGGAGTGGAGCAGCTCGTGGTGAAGGCTGCGGCGGAACCCCACGGAGAGGCGGCCGGTTGGTCTCGGATCACGTAAGGTGCCCCTTAACACCCTGCGCCCCTCCCCCCTGAACTCTGGGGCTGCACTGACCAGGGACAGAGACTTTGGGGGTTGTTGGACTTTTGGGACTTTGGTGATTCTTGGGTTGCTGGACCCAAGAGACTTTGGGGTTGTTGGACTTTTGGGACTTTGGTTGCTGGTTTCAAGAACCAACGGGAAAGGACACGGCCCAATTTGCTGGGGTGGGTCTTCGCTCATGGTTTGGTCTATGAACTCTAGTTGTGGTGTTTTCCCAATTTAATGCTATGTCGTTTACCTCATGTTATTAAACATTTTTCTGCTACACCGAGGCTCTGTGCTTGCGAGAGGGGAAGTATTGCCTCTTCGAGGCGCCCAGGGGTGTGTGTAAGATTTTCCCAGGTCACTGGGTGGGGGCTCGAGCTGGTTCTGTGTCACGCTGTTGGGAAGGGACCCCTATGTACTGAACCCCGCCCTTGCTGCTATCACTTGGCCTGGCAGAAGGGTTACAATACTTTTCACTTTTTCAGTAAACTCATCATTGTCATGTTACCAATTCTATGGGTTTGATTCACTACCTTTATAACATCAGACTCACACGGCTGCAACCCCTTATTTGGATAATCGATCTAAACTAAGAGTGTCTGTGTATATATATATATACAAACAAAACAACATCTTACTGGTCCAGAGGGAATATCACAGCAGGTTTCCAGCTCGGCATGTCGGGAATCACAGTAAATTACCATCCGTTGAAGATCAAACTAGAAAACAAAGACAGACAATAGGGCTGTGTTTCAGCGACTGTGAATTATTAATGCCAACTTGTGCCTAGTGTTTCGATACAAAGAGTGCAAACAATACAGACAAAGGCCAGATCACGATGGTTCTGGGGGTTCCATAGCTGACATGCATCCTTCTCTGTCAATACGCCAGCATTCTGTGAAGGGCACTATGCTAATAAGATTCTGACTCTCTGTATTCATTAAAGATCCTGTGATGCTTTTTACAAGAATAAGGATGTATATTAACCTCTGTGTCCTGGCCAAATTCCTATCTGGAAAGTTACATTCTGCCTACCTAAATTCCCCCTGCAATTTCAATTGGATAGGATGGCGTTCATTGTGTTCAACTCACATAGTCATTTCCCCCTATGGGTAAAATGCTACTAAATCATTTTACATGCACACGCCATTCACTTTGCCCAGGCCCCTTATAACTTCAATGGAGTTACCCCTGATTTACATGCATGTAAGAAGAGAACCAGACCAAGTGTAAGTATCTTGATTTTTTCGCTACGACCAAGCATGGTACAAATTTAATGCCGGATGTATTCTCTGTGCGGTGAGGACCATATTCTGACGTTGCAGGAAAGGACTCAGTGATTTAATGAGTCTTTCCTGCCTCTAACTACTACACATGAAACCCCATGTAGGGCCAGGTTGGGACAGCAAAGAGACGTTCAGATGTTGTTTGGTATTATGTAGATTTGCCGATTATGTTTGCAGGTGATCGATACCTATGGACATGAGTTTGACAATGGCAAGCTCAGACTGGCCGGAAGGATGAAATGGAGCCCCCTTTTTGTATCCCTGTACTGCACACTTCAGTACTCTGAGGTTAGAAGATGGAAACCCTGGTATCTGATGAGATGTCAACCATTCTCAGAGAGTTAATCAAACGCAAAGATTCAGGAAATGACAATGAATAAAGAGAGGGTTCAGTGAGAGTGTGACACCAGAAAACCCCATCACCGTTGCACAGATGGACATCATTCCCCTGGGAATGAATCCGCAGACTCAGTACTTACGTCTATGGGTACGCTGTCATACAGGCGTTTGCCAATCACGGTCTTCCCTTGAATGTCAATATTTTCTCTGTCTTCAATAGGCAACGTCTGCACTAGTTTGCAGTCGATGTAGAGGGAGACGCTCTTGGATTGAATGCTGAGGGCGATCTTATGCCAGTTGCGGTCAAACAAATCGCTGACTCGGGCATTTCGAAAGACCACTCGTACTGCGTCCTTGGTCAGCCCAATGGAACTGTACTCCACGGCTTTGTTCTCTCCATCCAGGCGGATAGAGACCTGGGAATCAACAGAAAGAACGCTGCCGATACAACACAACTTCATTCTCCGTACACTCGTCCTTTCACATAAACTGTACCCCAAAGTGCTTTACAGAGTCAAAGTTACTAAGAGCAGAGGGGAAGGGAAAGAGATATAAGCAGGGTGTGGGGGACATGCCTGAAGATGGGATAGGAAATGAGATTGGGAAAAGACAAGGCATGTTAAAGAGGTTAGATGATGGCCTAAATTACCTACCATTATGACTAAAATGACCAAGCCGTGACAAAGAAGGAAGAAGTACTGAATGACTGGACTCAATTCAATCACGTTTTCAAATCAGAGAGAAAGAGCCCAGTTTAATCTGTAATAGGTAAACTCCTATCACCCCTAGCATTGTGGAATTCATACTCCACCCACTAATTCTCTCTCTTTCTCTTTCCAAGGCCATTGCTATGAGCATATTGTTTCTCATAATTCCTCCATCGGACCGCTCAAGTACTGTACATAGTAAGCCATGGATGTAGGAGCAAGCAGATAAAGGGTAACATTTTCTAAAGCACCTAAGTAACCTAGAAGCCAAAGTCCCATCTTCAAAAGTGATTAAGGCATTTAGGAGCCTAAGTCGTATTAACTTTCATTGAGACTTAAGGCTTCTAAGTGTCAAAGTCATTTTGAAAATGGGACTTAGGCACTTTTGAAATTTTTACCCATTGCTTTTTGCTTTCCGAACTTCAGGGGGTCAATTTTTCAGCTATGAACAACAGGAAATGACAGATTGTCTGGTATATAGGATTTGGAATTAAGAGAGTATGGTTTCACAGTAAGTTACATTTCCTTTTATCAAAGATCAGCTGATAATTTATCAAGATAATGATATTAACCTTTGTTCACTGGCTGACTTAAGAATCTAGCTAGCCAGCTAGCTAGGTTCTAATACTACACCCATCCCCTGTGCTGCCTGAGTGTCTCGAATATCTCTCCACATCCTTTGGAAGTTCAAATCCAAAGGAATAATAATATGTAGCACTGCTAAAGCAATCAGCACTGGCAGCCCCTCAGGAATCACCAGTAACTCTGTAACAACAAACTAAAATGTACGCATTAGGCAAAACAAAAAACCCACTCCCCCACCCTCAAAACAAAAAAGACAACATGGTGTGTTGTTAAAAAACCTATATGGCAACAGATGATAGATTGCACTCATGATGAATTGGTAAAAAGAACAGGAGTACTTGTGGCACCTTAGAGACTAACAAATTTATTAGAGCATAAGCTTTCGTGGGCTACAACCCACTTCTTCGGATGTATATGCATCCGAAGAAGTGGGTTGTAGCCCACGAAAGCTTATGCTCTAATAAATTTGTTAGTCTCTAAGGTGCCACAAGTACTCCTGTTCTTTTTACGGATACAGACTAACACGGCTGCTACTCTGAAACCTGTCATGATGAATTGGGGCTATGTACGTATAACATATGAATTCCGGTTTTTTACTGTGAAGTTGCATTATGAACAACTGCAGTATCATGCGTGTCTCTATGTATGTGGATCCACCAAAGTCTTGTAGCTGGTACACACCAGACAGGGACAAAGGGAAATACTTAAGGTTAATGACAGTACTTTTACTATACAAAGGTTATGCTAAAAAGCAGTTCAAGCCTTGGAAAACCATTCTAGCTTATGACTCTGAATGGAGGGGGGGAAGGTAGGAACAGTGGAACTTACCAGGAATAGAACAAAAGAGAAAAGGTCACCAAGAGGGGTTTAAATAAGAAACACACAGAAATAGGGGGAGCCAGAGAGGAAGCATGAGGCAGGAGACAGCAGGGTCACAGAAGCTGGGTAAGGGACTCCATGAGGGATGGACCACCCATATATATAAGCCAGGGCACAACAATGCACAACAATGGGTGGCCCCGAAGCACTCCCAAGTGAAGGGTGAGAGATCGAAAGTGACCTATGTTGTGTTTATTGTTTTGTGTGATCCACACTCTTCTGTGCTCTGTCTGATTAGGTATAAAAGAACAAACGCATTCGACGCCATGCAAAGTGTCAGAGTGTGTGTGAACTGCTTCCCAACTGGTGTGTGCCTCTGAAAGAGTTCAGTTGTAACCGGAAGCCTCACACCTCTGAGGTGGAGCTGTGGGGCAGGATGTATTTAAGTGACAGGGTATCTTGGGGGGCCTAGGGAAGGTAAGCTGAAGAGCCCCATTTCCAAGAAGAGGTAACAGACTATTTGGTGCCCAGGAAATGTGCCACAAAGGCCAAGCAAGGAACCAGTGGGGATCCAGAGCAGCAGAGACTTGAATTCCCCCTCACAGCCATCTTAATGAGTGGCCAGGAGGGGGCGCTCACTAGGTCCTGTGACTGTACAGCTACTTCCTAGGTGACTTTTGGGCAGGTTACTTAACATCCCTTTGCCTCAGTTTCCTCCCCTGTGAAATGGGCATAATAATGCTTCCCTACCCCGCATGGGGTTTGTGTAGGTGAATTAGTGTTTGTAAAGCACTTGCAGATCTTCAGATAAAATAAAAAATAATAATCTGCAAGTGCTTTACAAACATTAATTCACCTACATAAACCCCATGCGGGGTAGGGAAGCATTATTATGCCCATTTCACAGGGGAGGAAACTGAGGCAAAGGGATGTTAAGTAACCTGCCCAAAGTCACCTAGGAAGTCTGTGGCAGAGTCAGGAAGAGAAGCCACTTCTCCTGAGGCTCAGTCCTGTGCTTTAACGGTGAGGCCATCCTCTCCTATTCTGGGGCAATCAGTAATTTTTTCTATAAAGCACCGGCTGAATAAACTTATTGAAAGACTCAAAGTGCTTTTGAAACTTAGGAGAGTTTCTTTTCTCTGCCCATTTCCTCCTAACCCCAGCCACTGCCTGAGCAAACCTCCTTCCCAATGTAAACCATGGGCCGTGTCCAATTTTAAAGGCAAAGGTTCTTCGGCAGAATGAACTGAAAGAGTGTCAGTCGAAAGGAACGTTCATCAGTCCATTCGGAATGGGGAGTGAAGGGTTAAAGCGGCATAGCCAGCTTGTGCGGAACACGGCTGCTCCCGAAGGCTGGAAAGGGCCCATACCTGCGGTATGCCGTACTTGTCGATAATCTGCCAAATATACCAGTCTTCTCTCCTGGAAGCCTTCCGGAATTTGAAGGTGGCTACAAAGGCATATTCATCAGGCAGGCCCTGTGGGAATACACCCCTGGGGAAGAAGAAGTGAGAGAGAAATGTAACCGACAATAACGAAGAGCAAAAGACTCCAACAGAAACCCCTGCGTGTCCTGGCAAGATTTTCCAAAGCCATGATGTAGATGTTTAAAAAATCAGCTGTATCTGGCAGCCAGTAAAAAGACAAACATGTGTCTGCTCCCCTCCATCAGCGCATGCCAGCTTTAGCCTAGAGGGGATCTTCCCCATTCCTGTGGTGAGGAGATGATTCATTCCCAGCCCTCATCCTAAATACCAAAACCTGGGATTTTGCAGACTGTTCTACATCATGCTGAACAGGTTGGGTTTTCCCTGATGAGGTACCCCCCCTCGGTGCCTAGCTACCCAGCGGATAAGTGAAGCATCCTGTCTGGATCCTCTGCTGCAGTGGGGGCTTTTCACATCTGAAAGCAGGCAGGCAGAACTGACACATCCTGTGAACGTACTCAACTGGAGCAGCATGAAAGGATCATATCGTATCGGATTCCAGACAAAGCAGGCACTGCTTTTAGTGCCAGCCCTGAAGGAGACGTTACTGTTCTGTTGGCTTGTGGAATCAACTGTGCTTTCTCAAAACACACTTTGCAAACAGATTTAGCAGAAATGTACTCAGTGCGTAGTAGGGATGTAAAAGTGTAACTGGTTAACCGATAAGCGTCAGTCTTATCAGTTTCGGATAGGTAACGATTAAACTCCGCTGCCACCCTGCGCCTGGAGTCCTGGCTGCCGGCCCGCACCAAGAATTCCGCTGCCGGTGCATGCCCAGGGTCCCAGCTGCTGCTCCATGCCCGGGTCCTGTCCCATGCCCAGGGGCTTTGCTGCCACCCGTGCCCAGCGTCCCGGCTGCAGCAGAGTTCCAGACACAGGGCCAGCAGCCAGGACCCCAGGCGCGGGCCCGGCAGCGGGACCACCGGTGCAAGCCAACAGTGGAGCCCCGCATAAAATGGAGGGGTGCTGCAGCAACCCTCCCCCCTCACAGCGCTAGTTCCCCACCTATGTGAACTCCTTAACAGTTAACCGTTGAACCAATAGAATTTTAATAGGTTATATGGTTACTATTTTTAAACCCTATTTACATCCCTAGTGCATAGCTTGCCTCGTAGGATCGGTACCCATCTCTGAGACGATGAAGAATCAACCTGTTTGAGTCAACCTTGTTGCCACATGTGTCGCAGGCACCAATGAGAACCCAAAAGCCTTAGCAGCAATAAATGAAGGGCGAAGCACTGAGGAAGCTGTTTGTATTGGTAGCGTCCCTGACTTTGCCCAGAGGAGTGGGAAGAGTGGGAGCTGGGCATTCAAAACTAGAGGCCACCACTGAAAATTCAGGCTGCAGGAGTTTTAAAACATCCACATGTTTTTTTAATAAAAGCCACCTCAAATAAGTATGGGGTTGAGTTTACAGCAACGATTCAAAGTCATTCATGCTTCATGCAAACCAATTCTCCCGTCGTTAGCTTTCACTTTGAATTTCCTGATTTGAAGTTAAGCCCTTCAAGATATCTGAACAGATAGTACGGTGGTTTAGACCATTATTGTTGCTTCTGCTGTAACACACACATAAATGGAACACCCCCAACGAACCCCAATTTCTTTCCCAAAAGCCAGATTGAAGAAGACTCCTAGTAGTCACTATGTAGCAACCACAACTCCTACCTCCTTGTATGCTGTGACAGATCTCCAACAAAAGCAAGACCTTGGACCTATTTCTGTCTGGCTTATCTCATCATTTTCTACATGGCCTGTTAACACGTTTTAACAGCTGCTCAGCTCCATTTCCACACAGCTAACCGGAGGCCTTTGCAGTGTAACACCTGCTGCCTGTGTGGCCGGAAGGCGCTCCCAAGGAGAGCTGCAAGCGCTCAGCGCCTCTGAATAGCTGGCCAGCATACGAGCGTCAGATTCTGGCTCCCTATTGGCACTTTACAATACCCTTCTTCACCTAGGGAGACCTGGGACCTGGCCAGACACAGTCAACTCCTGTTTGCTAGCTGCTCACCCAACTGCCCTTCCCACCTGACATGGATTCTCCTGGTGCCAGCGTCCTGTCTCTCACACAGCAAAAAAGAGAGCCCAAGAGCTCCCTCCCCTCCGAGTTGTGGAACCCACAGTAATTCCATATCACAAAAGAGCAGGCCCCTGGGTTGCCACTGTCCTGCCAGAGCCCCAGTGGAGAATAAATCTGGCATGAAAGTGGCAACAAAAAGCCACAGAAGCAGTGCAGAGGAGGTCTGGTGAGGGACAGCCAGGTCAGTCACATCAGTCCTGCCAATGGGCACACCGCCAGGCCCCGTGTACCTTTGACACATATTTGTGTGAACTGCCTGTCGCACGACTGTCTGCTTTGTACATGGGTTTTGTCTGAGTTCTCTGAAGAGGGAAACAGGGCCCTTTTAAATCGCTGACAGATTCAATTGGCCTTCCCCCCACCACCCCATTCCCTAACAAACCTTTCAGAATAATGAGCTAAAAACCACAAGGTCTCCATTCATTTGTTTCAGGAGAGACGTGCAACCCAGTTGGTGCTTGGCCATAAACCCCCCCCATCCTGGCTGGAGTGCTGGCATTGGGAGTGCCTCCCGTATCTAAGCTCCTGAAATGCTGCCAATTACCGTCTGCACTTCCATTCACTCTCCTCGCCTGCCTATCTTCCTGACTCTTCTTCCATGGGCAGCAGTGGCACCCTTTGCTACCCTACTGGTCCTGCCCTGACCATCCCCCTCCTGCCTTCCCTCCTGTCTTGTTCCTGATTCTCTCTGGGTACGTTTACACTGCAAAAAAAAAAAAAGTCAGTGAGTCTCAGAGCCCAGGTCAACTGACTCAGGTTTGTGGGGCTCATGCTACAGGGCTAAAAATAGCAGTGTAGATGTTCCTTCTCCAACGGCTGGAGCTTGGGCTTTGAAACCCAGGGAGGGAGGGTTGGTCTCAGAGCCCAAGTTCCAGGCTGAGTGGGAATGTCTACACTGCTATTTTTAGTCCTGTAATACAAGCCCTGCAAGCCCAAGTCAGTTGACCTGGACTCTAGGACTTGCCGCCATGGGTTCATTTAATTTTTTTGTTTGGTTGGTTTTTGGGTTTTTTTGCAGTGTAGACATTCCTCTCTCTCTCCTGCTGTTGTCTCCCCCTCTCTCTGCTCAGCTTCCAAATCCCCCTGGTCCTGGACTGCTATCCCCCTTTGTTACCAACCACTTGGGCTCCCTACCCTACATCTCCTCACTCCAAGCCCTGGGCACTTTCTGGTGCCCGAAGCTCCTGTTCTGCCTGCTGTGCTCTCTGACCCCGCTCCCTGGAAACACAGCAGGAAGTGAGTTAGCTCAGCCTCTGTTATAGGAGACAGCTTTTCACCCCCCGATCCCCTGGCATTCTGACTTCTGAGTCCTAAGCCCATTAGCTACTGCTCTGGCTACACTTCCCATCCAGTCCATGTAATGAAAGCCAAGCAGACCAACACATTGTCTCAGTTAACTTAGTGCTGGCAAATGATCACACTGACAGCCCTGGGGAGAAGATGTCCCTCGTATTTACCCACAGGACGGGCATAGCATTGGCAGGCGCATCTCTCTTACTGGCCCCTACCAAGGCCCTGATTCAGCAAAGCATTTAAGCACGTGCTTCATTATAAGTATGGACGCAAGTCCCATTAAAATCAACAGGTCTTAAGCACAGGCTTTGTTGAATGGGACGTGCTTAAAGTTTCGCTTGTTTTTGAGTGTTGGGCTCATGTGTTTGGCCCAAGTGCTTCCACTCAAACTTGGAAGTGCCCAGTGGGGAAGTAGGTAAACGAACTTAACCTAAACGCCACATTCCCCAAATGAGAAGTGGAAAAATTCCGTTTACGCATGTTTACCCTTGATTACACTACTGGACGGGTCCATTCTTGGACTCTCTATTAGGACTGCCTGTGTGGCTCTGTGGAAACCTCTGTGCTAGGAACTGGACTGAGACCACTGACTCATTACACAGATGCTGCTGAACGGTGCATCACATGGATTTAAAGTGGTGGGAAGCTGTAATAACCTGTTACCAGTCCCCCTCAGCCTCAGCTGCAGCTTTTAAGGCTCTGAAGAACAGGCTGTAAGTTCTTGGCAGACACAGCCTTTGTGCCAAAAGCAAACGTAAAGACACCTCTGTTGCTCAGAAGGCATGACAAAAGCTGGAGCTGAAGTCCTTTGCCCCTGTGTCTTTTGTGGAAATGCAATACCTCATAAATAACGAGCGCTCTGTTGATGAGTTTTCATTTATTTCCCTGCTAAAAACATTGATGTCCATCAAGTAGCTCAGTTGGGTATTTGGGAATCCAAGTACTGTGAGTGCAGTCCCCAGAAATGTTTTATTTCCCTGCCTTCACCTGAAGCTGAAATGAGCTCATGATCCATCCTACAGAGCATCTGAAATCCTGCTTTACAGGTTGCCTGGTATCCACAGGGAGCTTGCTGTTGATTGCTGAGTTTATAATTCTGAGAACTCAACCGGTCACAGAAGAGCTCTCTATAAAGCTCCAAGCTGGGGGAAATCCCTAGTGTAGCAGGTTAGTTTATGAGTTAATTAACCCAAAGTCAAGCTCAGGTGAATCCCAACCTCGGCATATAAAAAATGAGAACCCACATCCAGAGGGCTTCCTGGTTCCTCCTCGATTTCTCATCACCTTTCATTTGCCATAAGAACACCAAATCCTCCACCCACAGCCATCACACCACAAAGAGAAACATTAGCCAGATTTCGTTCCCGACACCAAACGAAACAAAGGTGTGTTGTTTGCTTGTGTTTGCGCAGAATTACTGACATTTAAGATATTTTGGAAATTAGTTGACAAAAATTAAACAAAACACTGAAACGTGAAGGAAACACCTGTAAACCCAGACTTGTAGGTGTCTGAATATTTAGGTCATTGAGCCCAATGAATCAATTCCAGCCCAGCCCAGCAATGGCTAATATTCACTCACATCTGATGGCCATTCAGCCATCTATCTGAACTGAGGCTGGTGGGTATCACTC